GGGCTCACAGCTTCAAAGGTCTCAACTATAGACCACCAACTCCATTCTTAGTGGCTCAAGGTGAGGCAGAACATCATGACAGAAGTGTGTGGTGGAGGAAAGTGGCTCACATTATGATCAGAGAGCAGAGAGAGGGACTCCACTTTCAGATACAAAATATATACCACAAAGCACACCCCCAGCCACACCCTTCCCACCTTCAGTTACACTGAGTTAATTCCATCAGGGGATTCATGGGTTAGGTTAAAGCTCTCACAGTGCAATCATTTCTCTTCTTAAGCTTCTTGCATTGTCTCATACATGAGCTTTTGTGAGACACCACATCCAAACCATAACATTACATAAAACCAATTTATTTAAAAGTTTTAAATATATACACTATGTATACAAAAACAATAGAAAAATGAAATAGAACAGTATACTAATATTTTGTCTAGGCTCATAAAAGTGAATTTTATTTCTTTATGTTTTCACATTACCAATAGTTTATCTTTAATAATTTTATAATTAGAAAATAATATGTATCATATTTAAAGTATTGCAGATATTTAAGTGCATACATTTAATTATTTAAGTACTATTAATACAAAATAAAACTTTTACATTTTTTTCATAAATATCATTAAACTTTGCTCTACTCTTCCCTTGGCAGGTATGGGATGGTACCAGGACACCATTCCCATCTTGGAGAGTTTTAATACAAGACCTTGTTCTTGAAGGTGATTTAACTCATATTCATCGGCTACAAAATCTGACAATAGACATTTTAGTCTATGATAACCATGTTCGAGTTGCAAAATCCCTGAAGGTAATGTTGAGTGTTATAAAATTTTTGCTACTTTATGTTTGTGTTATTTATTTTATTTTGATGATTTTAGTCCACATAAATGTTGGTGATAAAAGATTACATTTATAAGTGATAGGTGAAGTCTAGAAATTAGCTTCAAATTTATGTTTTTCTTGAAATGTTTAATTTATAAAATATGTACCTAAAGTCACCTAAATAAATTAGAATATATAATAGATTATTTTTTAAATTAATCTTTCCTGATATCTTGTATCCATCCATACACAATTTACTGTGTAAATAGTAAGGAAAATTTTGTCAAGTGACAAAGGATTTGTAAAGTATTGTTAATAAATTTTAAGCTTGTTAATTGATTTGGTAGATTCTAGATGGCAACTTTATACTTACTGGTTTAAGAAAGTGGTAAATCCTCTCCAATGTAATGATTTAGTTGTGTATGTTTTTATGTCCTGTAAAGTTTATAGAATTTGTTTACTGTTTTGGGGAATTTGCTTATAGTTTTTAGTGAAAAATGCACTGTTTAGATATGGCAGTTCCTATTAAATTAGAAACACAAATTCATGGAATATTTTTCTTCATTTTGTTGTATTTTATTTGAAAGTATCCTATGTAACAAATAATGGTACCATGATTTATAATAATAGCATTTGCTAGGTACTTCATATGAATCCGGTACTAACCTATGCTGTAAGTGCTGTCACCATCTCATTTTATAAATGAGACAGTGAGGTTTYCAGAGGTTAAGTGAACTTTCCAAAATTCTACAGCTATTTGATTATGCCAGTGATTGAATCCACAAAGTCTGTTTCCTGAAGTAATCCTTTTAAACATTAAAAGGAAATGTTCTTATTGCAGATGTCTTTCTGCCTATTTATGGAAGTTAAAAGGAAATAGTAAAAGTGCAGATATGCATTTCAATGCTCAGTTTCCTTTTGTAAAAATGTAAAATCCATGGAGAAGAAAACACTTCCACTCTCACATTGTGTTTCAAATGAGCTCATCCAACTCAAACAATAAAATTGGGTTAAAATTAGGGCTTTGGATATAATAAATGCACTTTCTGGTTCTTTAGAAATGTCTGTGGTTATGTGTGTGTACCCGACATATTATTGTTGAAGATGTACTTTGGGTATTTTTTTTCTGTGAAAGATACTTACTGTCTTGTACTCGTATCTTTTCAAATGAAAAATTATGATAAATCCACTTCTTAGGTTATTTTTAGTACAAAAGGAGTTCTTTTATGAATAAAAAGGATTTACATTTTAGAATCACCTCAGTTCCTCATCATGCATATCTACTGATTATTATAATTTCATTTTGTTTCCCTCTGCACTTTTGTGAATTTTTATTTCCTTACTTGTTCTGCTTTTTTGTCTAAGTCCTGAACAGTACTTATTATACTACTTTTCATATTGTAAGGATGAAATGATATCTGTTGGTTAATGAGTAGATGAGTGAAAGGATGCTGTGAATTTTTTCCAGATTTTTTTCTTTTTAACTTCTTGCCCACTAGATGGTGATATGAGCACATATTCTAATTAAGAAAATAGGTGGCATGTTGTTTCTCTCAAAAGACTTTATAGTTATATTTTTTGTATGCAGGACAATTTAAAAATGAAAATAATTGTCTCTGTGTTTAAGTATTACCTTTAAACTATTATATAATATGCTTTTGTACTTGATATCTTAATTTCTGGCAACTTCTGTAAACATTCACATTTATGTATGAAATCTTTAATCACATGGCAGATATAAGTGAATATCAGTGTTTCAAGACAACGGTTTAAGTTTGCATTTTAATATCAAAACGCATGGAGCAAATTCAAAATTTGTTGTACAGAGACAGGAAAGATGTGTATTTTTTTAAATAAAGGAGTAGTTAATGCAAAGTAAAGCTTGATGTAACCAAATTTTATTAAACAATACATTTTACATCCTAAATTACCTTTTAACTCATTTCACCTTTTTTTCTGAATCTTGCTGTTTAAGGAAGTTATGTCATTCCCAGAACATTTTACACACATGAAGACAAATTGAGATTCTGTCTTATATTGACAGTTTTGAAAATAACTATAAAACATATAATGTCATAATTATGTTTTGGCCTTTAGCAACCCCTTAATTAACTGTAGCTTGACTATTTTGAGACATATACAGGGGATTAAAAGTATTAAGCCTAAAGATAAATTCTTGATGATTTATGGAAAATATTTTTGATTTTTTAAAATTTATTTAGTTGTGGATGAACACACAGTATCTTTATTTATTTTTTATGTGGTGCTGAGGATTGAACCCAGTGCCTCACACATTCGAGGCAAGCACTTTACCACTGAGTTACAGCCTCAGCCCATAGTTTGATTATTTCTAAAGGAATAGTGGTTTCTTTTTTTTTTTCCTCCACATTTTTATTGGTGCATCATAGTAATATATAATGGTGGGATTTGTTGTTATATATTAGTTCATGCACACAATATAGCAATATAACTTGGCCAGTATTCCTCCTCAACACTCCCCCCTCCCTCTGCACCTCCCACTGCCTGGTTGCTTTCTCCTCTTCTACTGATCTCCCTTTGCTTTTCATGTACTCATGCCCCACACACCTTTCTTTTGCTTTTTCTTAGCTTCTACATATGAATCAGCCTAGCTATCCATCAACAGATGAATAGATAAAGAAAATGTGATATATATACACAATGGAGTTTTCTTTAACCATAAAGAAAAGTGAAATTATGTCATTTGGAGGAAAATGGTTAGAACTTGAGGTGATTATATTAAGAGATAGTGGTTTCTTAGTAGTCATATTTGCTTTGCTTTTTCCAGTGTTTCTTTATTGAAATAGTGTATAATTTAAAAATTATAATAATTTTTAAAGTATATTTTATATATTTTTTAAATTTTTTCACTTGTGTTTTTGGAACCTTATTGCATTAGTGATAAGACAAAACAACATTCTTTTTTTTATACTAGAGCATTAGGCATATTTCATGATATATTTAGTCAGGTTTTAAAAGGTACAATGCTGCCTCCAGAAGGAATTTCTGATAATAACCATTTGTCATTTTTATAGTGTTGGTATATGAATTCTATTCTGGCCTTTAAATCTTGTTTAATAATGAAATACAATACTAGAAAAGATAAACACCCATGAGCTCACCAGATAAACTTATTTCTAATTGTTTTGTCATGTTTACTTTAGATACTTTTAGAATCAAACTATACATTGACTTTTTTTTTATCCTGCTTGATCCTTTAAAAAAATATATTTTTACTGTATGTACACTTTTAATAGGACAGAGCCCCTTCTTCATCTTAAAAATTTACTTGACTATTCTATTTCCCATAAATTTTTAATTAGCTTTTCAAATTCTATGAAAGACACTAAGGATTTTGCTTGAGATTACATTGACTTTAAAGAGTAATACGGAGGAAATCATGTTTATAATATCAGAGCTTTTTTTTTTTTGTTTGTGAACATAGAATCTTTCTCCATATATTTAGACCTTCTTTGAAGTTCTTCATAGATTATAGAAACGTACTGTACTAGTATATTTGATGTATAGTTATATTTATACACATATATAATCACAAAATAATAAATATTCAAAAAGAATGAGATAAATAGAAACTTATTTTCTTCCACTACTGCACTTTGGAGACCATGTGGGAAATGAGTTTTATCATCTTTGTGTGAGTTTGTGTATGTGTRTGTGTGTTTTCCTGATGTTCATGATCCTATTCCCCAGTCATGATGTGTAAGAAGTCAGAGGAGAAAAGACTAGATACCTTACTCCCTCCTTACAAACCAGTTACTGGATGGGAAAAAAGACCCTTGGGAATGAAGGAGTATGTCTGGGAATGTAGATTTACCACCTTGCTTTCTTTCCCGTATCCCCTTCCATCATAGCAAAAGAGTGAGGAAGAGAAATGTAATTAAGAAAAGTTAGGTTGGGGTTGTGGCTCAGCCGTAGAGTATTCACCTGGCACATGCAAGGCCCTGGGTTTGATCCTCAGCACCACATGAAAATAAATAAAATAAAGATATTGTGTCCAACCAACAACTAAAAAATAAATATTAAAAAGAAAAGTTACAGTCACTAGTGGAAGATGATTTGCTCTTTGTCTTTATTTTTTGTATTCTCCCTTATATGGCTTTTCTGTTCTATTTTACATCCCCACTCTTAGGCTGAATTTATAGGGAAAAAAAAAAAGAAAAACAGACAAAAAAAAAAAAGAGGAAGATAGCCTTATAGTCATCTAGTAATCACTAGTGCTACTTTTATGCAAATTAATTAAATTCCTAGCTTATAACTGTAAATTTTCATGAAAGTAAATTATGATTCAGGTTATGTTGCTTCTTCTTTTAAGTAGATGTCGATATCTTGATATCTTTGATTGGCATTCTRTATCTCTCTCATTGAGATCTTTATTGAAAAAAAAATCAGGTTCTCTGTAATTAAAATACTTTCAGACTAAGTTTAGCAAAACATCTAAGATTAACCATAGATTAGTTGATTCAAAACTCGTTAATCCTCTATTTGAACTCATAGATCAATCCTGTGATTTTATTTTGCAGTACTGTTGTGGAAATACAAATGCTTTATTATAAAAATTTCCTTTTCATAAAAATTGAGGGATGGTGTAATATTTATTATTTTGGTATAGTTGTACTTTTTGTTTTTTCTACTTTGGTCACCATGAGACTATTTAGTGATCATAYTTTTTAAACTAGTTAAAGCAAGTTATTTTGAAAAATGTTTTATCAAATAAAGGTCTTGGATTTCATTTAGATAATAAATTTCTTTGCTATATTTTATTGATGCCATCACTGGAAGAGACTGGAGGAATTCCTAGAGAGGGGGACCACAAATGTTGACTAATGTTAGAGAAATGAATTTAAGACATGTCAGTTAGATTCACAGATAGTGTTTTAATTAGGGAAACAAAGATACATTCAAGGGAGAATATGGGCAATCTCAAGAACTAGAGAGGCACCACTTGGTCCGGGGTGTTAACATTTATTGAGGGACAGTAACTATGGATTAGACTATAGGTRGAAGCAGGGCAGAATTACACAATTTCAAGCCGGTTTTTGTACTACTTGTATATTTCCCTGGTATTACATGACTTTTTGCTGGCAAGGGCATGCCCCAAGTGTGCAGGCTGGGTTGCCCATGAGTAGTTTTGTTTTGAATTCCAACAGTTTGCGGGTGCTTCTTTTTCTCTTGAGACTGAATATATCTTTCTCTGTTTTCCCACATTCCTAGCTTAATGTTAAGACAGTATGTTCTTTCACATTCAGTATGTCTGAAATGGGACTGTCTTACAATTGAATGTGTGCTTTGGATATAGAATCCATGGAGCTGATGTTCAGCCACACTGATATAGCACACTTACTCTTATTTTCTGGTTAGGCAGTGGTCCTTATTGTTGTGGCTGGTCATTGCCTCACACTGGATCTAACATTTTTAAATGTAAGAAATTGATTTTTCCTCTCTTTMTAAATCATAAATAATCTGTTTTTAGGTTGGAAGCTTTCTTAGGATCTATAGCCTCCATACCAAACTACAATCAGTGAATTCGCAGAGCCAGGCATCATTGTTAAGCCTAGAGTTTCATCTCCATGGAGGTACTAGTTATGGTCGAGGAATCAGGGTCTTGCCAGAAAGTAACTCGGATGTGGACCAACTGAAAAAGTAAGAATTTTATACACCTGTTTAGAAAATGTACATAAGGTATTCATTAAACTAATTTTAAAGGTAATATTGTTCCTGGTGGGTCTCATCAGGTTTGATCCTCATTGCCTTCTATGATATTCTCCACGTTTTTAAGTAGATGAGCCAAATGATACAACCTCAAGTGATTATAAGTTCAAATAGCCAGTTAGTAACAAAGCCATCACTATAGTCTAAGTTTCTAGTAGTTCAAGTCTGCTTTTTACACTCATGCTCTTCTTATACCATTTGTTATACTAAGTATAGCAATAAACAGTGGCAAGTAGATTTTAGCCAAAGTTTGGAAACTTTATTATATAACTAAAATTTCTAAAATATTTAATCCTGCTGTGGGGAGAGGAGAAGAAAAAACTTTCTAAAGGGCTTAAGATTAAATAGGTAACAGAAGTGTTTTAGTGTATGAATTTTTAAACTTTTAACAAAAGTGTCTTTGACTTTTGGATATGCTCAGAAAGTAAATAGTAATTTAATTCCTGTGTATGCAATTCTTTTTCTTGAGCTATTCTTAGTGGCTACTGTGTACAAAAATATTTTTAGCAGTATTTTAGACAGAACAAAAAAAATAACTTTTATGTATCTCCAGAGATAGAAAACACTTAATTTTAATGAACAGTAACTTGATAAATAATATTTAAATTTTAATATATTCCAGTGAATTTGTCATTAAAATTAAAATCTATTTTACTAATTTTATGTCATTTTTATTTGTATTGCAATATATAACAGCATAGCATTTCATTATTTCATTTCTTGAATCTACAGTGAGATTGTTCTGTCTCTGAATGTCTATTAAATTGCCAGAATATTTTTGTTTATAGTATTTCATTGACTTTCTGTTCCACTTTTATCTTTCTAACCTTGGGTTTTTAATTATGAGGGCTTTGGAACCCTCAGATAATCTAATGGAAGCTTTAGACTATTTACTGAGAATACACCGAAAATTGTATAAGTAATTACAGTGGAATCCTGGATTTTTGTGGTTGGAGCTAAACTTGCTGTTTTGACTTTGTGTTATCAAATTTGAAATTATATTCTTTCCATTTTAGAGCTTTAGAATCTGCAGATTTGACAGCTACTCAGCGTTCAGATATTATCTTTCAATCAGAACATGAGGACAGCTTTCCAGCCCTTTCAAGTAAGGACAGTTTTTAACTTTGACAGTTTAGTTCCTGATAAATAAAATTGCTACATCAGTATAATTATTTTCTTTAATATTTCACTATTTCTATCTCTTGTTTTATTTATATGTRTGTRTAWAWATATATATAWAWATATATATRTRTATATATWTWTATATATATATAAATATAMTAGAACACYCTAATCATTCATATGTATCCTATGCAAAGTTAAGTATGGTTCTTCCTAAATTTATAATTACATTTCCAAATTAGAGTGATAGTGACTGCTTGATTTATGATGTATATATATATATAAAATGTGTGTATTCATTAAAAATTCTGTATTATTTTCTAGGCAACTACTTTTACTTCTCAGTTTCTAAAATGAACAAAGGATGGTTGTGCTGCTTTATTGGTTGTGCTGCTTTATATCAAAAAGCCCTATAATTTTTTGCTCATATACATCTTAGATGTATACATAGTTTCCATAATCTAATTATAAGATGCTATCAAATTATTATATTTTTGTATGTTTATATTTTTGTCTACCTGAATAGATGCTTGTTCAAGTCTGAACTTTAAAACTGTTCAGCGTGCAACATTTCTTCTCCTTTTCCACTTTGGCTTAATATCTGGTTGTACATTCTGACCTGTAGAATGTACATCAGGTTTTTAGTCTGATATTTTTTAACAGTTTAACTCCTATCCTGCTATAATCCAAAAAAAAAAAAAAAATGTTTTATGGGTGTTTACTCTCTGGCTATACCACTAGTAGTCTAAAATTAGCATGCATTTCTTAATAGACACTTAGTAAATGCCTGTGTCCATTATTTTTTTAATCCTGACAACTGCCTATAAGATGTATTATTTTCGCTCTTTTACAGAAAGGAAACTGAGGCTTTGAGTAACAGGCATCATGTAATTTGTTCACAGATACTTACTTATTTACTGATGATAAAGCAAATCAAGTTCAAATATAGGGTATATTTGACATTCTGTTTTTAAATTTATTTCTCATTCTGTGTTAAAACTCTTCCCATTTCTGTCACCTCAATAATGGCATTTTAGCCTGATATATAACTATTCACACTACCATTTAAAGACCATTTTTTACAATTGACACCATTTAGATATAGTGTAATTTGTAGTTATACTTTCTTGCAATCTCTTTTCTCCTTTTAAAAGTGTTTTATTGTTTTTAAATTACACAGTAATATTCAAAATATCAAATTGAATACTTGTCTGTATGCCTATATCCACCTCTATGCCTTTCTCCCTGAAATAAGGTTAATAGTTTAATGTGATTCCTTCAATACCTTCATATGTCTAAAGACATACCTAACATAAAGAAATAAAACTTCCCTCTTTCTTAAGTTATTAGCAATATGGAACCATGCTATAATAGTTGCTTTTTTAACAGTATATTTTAAACCTCTTTCTGCACTGATTCATATAGCTTAAACTCATTATTTTAGTAATCACATAGTATTGTATTATACAGGCATAACGATATTTAGTTAGCCATTCTCCATTTGGTAGACATTTAGGTTGTCAACAAGTGCTTTGTAATTGCATGTAATGTTTGAATAAATATTAAACACATTTACTTTTATGCTTTTACTTCTCTTAAAAAAAAACAACAACTCCTACAAGTGGAGTTGATATATTAAAGGGTAGACATATGTTTTATGTTAATAGATACCACAAAATTTCTTTCAGAAAAGGTCATCAGAATTTGTACCTGAATAACGGCATAGGATAATGTCCTTTCCTCCACAACCTCACAGTTCTGGAGGTTAAACAATRTGTATAATTTCTTGACAATTTGGTAGGTAAAAGGAAATGTCTTACTTAATTTTCGTGAGCATTTGGAAATCTCAATATAATTAAAAGCTCTTTTTATTTTTTTTTCTTTCAATTTTCTGTCCTTACTCTATGTGATTTTCTTTTGGATTCTTTTACCTTTTTTATCAATTGATGGTAGACCATATATATATTTTGCCATATTTTCTCATTCATCTGCTTTTATGGTTTCTGCATTGTTTACACTTCATATTGGAATGGTAGATGTTAATAAATAAATTAGATTCATTGAAATTGTACCACGTCACCTTGAGATATCTGTCCGAGTTCTCTTGTTTTTTGGTGTTAGTCATTAGTGATGCTGAAGAAGAAAGGCTRTTCATGCCTGTGTTGTATATGATGCTCCATAAAATAAATAATATACTGCTATATATAATAGAATGGAAAATAAAGCAATTGTAAAATATACTTGTCTTAAATTCCTCATTTTATAAATTAGATAGTATTTTACAAATTATTGGTTTGATTTCTACTTTTGCTTATTAAAGTAATATCCTGTTTAATGCTGTTTAATTTAGTTTGTCATTGTATTACATTTAATAAACTTACTGATTTATCCCCTTCTTCATTTTCATGGTGTATTTTTTGATATATTAAGAATTTTTAAAACATACAACAAGGTTAAAACAGTTGTAGAGAGAATATTATATACTCAGTACCTAGATTCTCTGATTCATATTTTATTTTATTTGCTCTGTTACATATTGGTCTCTCTCCATTCCTCCTTTCATTTATTAGTCTCTATTTTTTGGTTCATTTTAAAGTAAGTTTCAGATATCAAGCCTTCTAAACACTTAAGTATGAATATGYGTCATTAACATTCAAGATTATTTTTAAGATAAATTTACATTAATTGAAATGACAACCAATTATTTCATGTATTACTACATGAGTTTTATCTGATATATAAACATGAATAATTCACATTYTGCATACTTTTCTGTTTTAGAGCTTCAAATAAGTGGAATCATGAGTTATCTATTCTCTTACACAAAGTATGTTTCTGAGATTTATCTGCACTATTGCATATATCTGTAATTTATTCTTTTCTTAACACTTTGTGGTATAGTGTAAGGTAGACATTTTACTTTTAAGTAGGAATTTCTAGTTTTTATAGCAATGTTTATTTCCTTTTTCCTGTTTAGATTACTTCAGTGTCTTTGTCAGAAGTCAAATGGATGTAAATATAGATTTATTTCTGTTTTCTGTTCTTTACATGTTAGTATAGTGTGAAGGATGCATCCATTGTTCCCATATGAATTTTCAATTGTTCCAAAGCTATTTCTGCTTATCCTGTGAATTATCATGCTGTCTTTGTCAAAAATCACACTGTAAATGTGGCTTTATTTATAGATTATATATTTAATTAATTTAATTTGTCAGTCTTTATGCTAGTACTATGTTGACTTGATTACTATAATTTTATAGTAAGTCTTAAAGTCATTTACTATAAATCCTGCAGTGTTTTTCTTTTTCAAGATTTTCTTCACTATTCTAGATCCTTTGCATTTCCACTTAAGTAGTAGAATCTTATTAGCAATTTCTGTAATAATGCCTATGCAATTTTGATTAGAATTGTATTTAATCTTGAAAATATTTGGGGGGAAATTGATATCTTAACATTGTCAAGCCTAGCAAATCATGATGATAACTTATGTCAACATTTATTTAGGTATTCTTCAATTTCTCTCAATAATGTTTTATAGTTTTCAGTGCCACAGTAAATTTGTAATTCTTCTTTTTTTTTTTTCTTCTTCCTGTAGGCTCTGGATCAGTATCACTATATGAAGTAGAAAGATGCCAACAGCTGTCTGCTACAAGTAAGATCAACTATCTTTTTTGAGATAAGGAACAATACTACAGTAATGAGCATATTAAAGTTTGCTCTTACACTTAACTAATTCCTTCTTGCCTAATAGTAAGAGTAGATATCATAAAACAAAAATAGGTCTGCATTTAACTTTTATTCCTCTACCTCATCCTATACAGCATAAAATGTAACCCATGCAGAACCTGTCTCTGATTGAATATATATTTTAAATCATGTGTCTCTTACTATTTATAAAAAATATCATTGTACAATTTAACAGTATATCAGGGTTTATTTTTAGTTTGAGGATACAGAATATATTATATGACATTAATTTTAATCACACTATGTCTCTCATAGTGTTAGATAAGGAACTTCTTAAAACATGCCACMGAACTTATTAAACACAGTTTAATTAAATGTTATATACTATTATAAAGATATGAGTTTCTCATATGAGAGAAAGGGGATACAAAATATGGAATGAGAGAACACTTAATAAAACTTGGTGTTGTATTGGAACCAAAGATGCCGTGTAATCATGGCATGATTTTACATGTAGCTACAGAAATGGTGACAGTGGTGTGTGTGTGTATCCATATATTTACATGTATACATATTCATATAAAAGTACATGTATGTGTATTTACCAGTATCAACCTATATGCACATATGCCCACCTGTATCCATGAAAGGGCACAGAGGCAAGGGTATTCCACTAACAATAGGTATAAACAGTCTACAGATTTTGGTTTAAAAATATGTAAGGGTTCCTTAGAGAAATAGCAGATCTGGGGCTAGGACAWGGGAATAAGATAAATTTGAAATATCTTAGAGTACCAGAAAATAAGGAAATTCTCAAATAAATGTTTGGACATGTCAAATCTAGGACAATTTGTGCATCAAAATATATATTAGTGATGGATTAGAACTCATTGTGTGAGCCCATGTTGATAACAAACAACAGTAAATAAATGGGGTTGAATGGAAATTTCTTTCTTATGGAGAAATGACTACTACATATGACTACTAATAAATATTAAAAAAAACAATTAAATTAGAAAAAAATCCATCATTTTGCGATGATATTAGTAATTTTTGATTTAATTGTGAATCAGCGGCTCCTAAGCTGTTAGGTCCTAAATATTTGATGAATCATAGCATATTTGCTTTTTCTTAGGTACCTCTTTACCAATTATGAGGGGGCAAAATAGTAAATTTATAGCAGACTAATCACCTAAACCAAATGAAAAAAGTTATGTCTCCAATAATGGAAACAACGGTATTATATGTCCTTTGATGGATGCACTGAGCAGCACACATTATCACAGATATTGTCTTTGCCAAAAATGTGTAACTTGTATTTGAACCTGAGAGTAAAACAAGACACACCCAAATTAATGTTTATTCTACAAAGTAAGTGGCCTGAACTTCTCAAATAAATGTCAAAAAATAAAAAACAGGATTGGACTCTGAACCAAATAATAAAATGCTGAAAAGAACTTTTTGGAAATAGTTAGAAAAATTTGAATAATATCTATTAAATTAATGTTAAATGTTTTGATGTTGAAAATTGCACTGTAACTATGTCATTGAAAGATCTTGTTCTTGTGAAATACACACTAAAGTATTTGGGGGAGGGAGGCATGATATCTAAAAATTAYTCTGAAGTATTTCATTAATAAAAATACATATGCAGAGAGATAAAGGCAGACTGACAAGGTTAAATGTGACAAAAGCTTGGGAAAGGGAATATAGAGGGTKTTTATATTACTTTTGCAATTTTCTTTAAGTTTGAAAGTTTTAAATAAAAAGTTAAAAACTTTGTCTCACAGTGTTAATTGAAGCAAGTGCCAATTTTAAACTAAACTGATTGCATCTACTTTGGCCTTTTGCTTTTTAAAGCAAAACTATTCCACTGTACACTCTTGGCCTCTTACCTCCTTGAAGGCAAATTTATTCAGTGAGGCTTTAGTTGGATTAAAGCTGGATATAGGAAGTAATGCTCCTAGCCATTTGAGTGTCAAACTGTGTGCATCCATTCTATTTTCTAAAATAGAAAAGTATTAACTAATTTTGCAGGCAGAGTAAGGGTTGCTTTCTTACACTGAGGGTCACCAGCAATTTTGTACTCATCCCTGTATAAACTGAGCACTGCTATCCCAGACCTTTCCACCATCAGCTGAGGAAACCCATTTTACCAGACTAAGCCTCTATTGCTTTTGTCTGACTTTTTTTCCAGTCTAATTCTTCTATTTCTCATCTTCCTTCTTCCCTCCTTTTCCTCTCTTCACCTTCCTCATTCATTTCCTTCCCACCTGACTCCTTTTCCTTCTTGTACTTTACCACCACCATGACAATTTGGTATTCCTTAATGTCCCTTGTCACTCTTGGAATTGTTTATTATAAATGAAAGTTCTGGAAAGAGTCTCTTGTCTTATCAGGGAGAAGAACTTGTCTGGCAAATAATATTGAGCAAATGTGTTTTGTTATATTTTGTTGAACAATGTCAAACACAACTTAAGCTGTTACCTAATAGAATTGTTGCAGATATCAGTATTAKAGTGAATATTTTAAAATGTTTCACAGGTAACATACTCATTTTCTTGATGAAATAAACTTTACTGTTTTCCTTAAGTTYGCCAAGAAATCACTTTTAGTCTCATATAAAAATACTTAGTGTACACTTTCTAGACAAATTATTTCATGAATGAAGTATTTGGCATTTACTCAGCATATTTGTTGGATACCTATTGTGTGCCTTCYTGGCCTTCCTGCTGGGCATTTGCCACCAAGGTTCTGGTCTCACTCTCTTCCCCCAACTCCTGCCCAATTTTCAATAGTAACATTATCTGCATGACAATGCTGCCTAAATCCTATGGGTATGCRTCCAGGAATAATATGACTTTTGCTTTCTTGGAACTGACAGTTAACAATGTGTAAGTTAATTAGGTTTTATAGTGTATATTTGGTTCTGGGGGATGTCATGAATACACTTAAGGCTCTTGTAAGCTATTCTGATTTAATATAAAAATTCTGTACAGTACTTACAGATCATCAGTATTTGGAGAAAACACCATTATGTGCCATTTTGAAACAAAAAGCTCCTCAACAATATCGAATCCGAGCAAAACTGAGATCCTATAAGCCCAGAAAACTTTTTCAGTCTGTCAAACTTCATTGTCCTAAATGTTATTCACTGTAAGTATTCCAAAATAAAGTTATCATGTTATTTGTATATAAGTATTACACATACATATTTTTAAGTCCTGATAATGATCAATTGTGATTTCATTTATAGTATTTTGAAAGAATGATAATGTTTTTAAGGGAAATGTACAATCTCAGAGTAGATTCTTCCGATTCATTCTTTTTCCCTTATATTTCCTTTCAGTTCGTTCTTAGTAATAAATAAAAATATGTGCTATTATTAGATCTGAAATTCACCTTAGTTCTGATGAATGCCTATGAAAATAATAAATTAGAAATGTATTTCGGGAGAATTTCTCCTTTGTTACAAAATGTATATGTAAATATAAATCTGTTTTAACTGGAATTCTTGGAAAAAATGTAGGTAATTGGTATTTCTACTTACTTGAAGCAGAATTCTTTTTAGAAATATTTCTGTCTAGTTAAGAACTATAATATAAAAAGCACAATTTAAATTTTGTGCAGAAATTAAGAAGTTGTCAGGTCCTTGGTGTCTTTACTATAAACATTAATCATAAATAAGTAAGTAAACAAATGCAGGTATGTATAGGACTGTTTTGTAATCTTGTTAATATGTACTCAGCTCAAGAGATATTTGGAAAGTTATTTTTTAAATTTTTGTTCATATTTTTAATGCAATTTACCTGTCTTCTAAATATATAAAATGATGTTAATGAAAAGTAGCTAATGGATGGATATGTACATTTGGATACCAAAAATCAAGCTTTCTCTGTAGTGTACTATGATGCACATTATATACATGACCATATATATTTGTGTTGCTATGTTATTTAGTAATTTCTGTGTACATTAATATACATATTTTCCCTCTAAAATCTAAGAATAATACTGTTTGGAGTGGTTTTTGATAATCAAATATCTTTAAATTACATGTGGGACCCATTAGACCTTGAATGGTAGTTGGGATTAAAATATATTTAAATATTTTACTTAACTCTTGAAATATTATCAAATTTTGGATCATTAAATTCTGTGTATAATCATGTTGCATGGAGCATGACGTTAAGTGTGTTCTTTGTCTCTCAGATTCGAAGAATGAGATCCACAAAAAAAGTGGAGGGTAGAGTAGCAAGATTTATCTAAGTCAGAAAAGGCTCCCACAGTACAGGAGTGGTCCTAAGGGAGGGTACTGCTGGCTATTTGTTGGGGGTTTTTAAAGGCATGTGTGATGGCCCCTGGTAGGTGATTGGTGGAACCTGTATAAATGAAGAATGGAGCAGTCAAGCTCTTTAAGCTCTGGTTGAATAAACCAATCCAAAGTGTATATGTTTAATCCCTTTACATAATTAAGAGGACAGGCTCAACCTTGAGATTTGGTCCTTTAGTTGAATAGAAAGTGCTTGGGATAAGAAAGGTAATCTACCTTTCCTACAGCTCTTTAAAGCAAAGCCCCTATCTATAATCCCCTTTTAAACAAATGAGATAAAGTTGTACAGCTAATTGACAACAGAACCAGGACAGGCACATAGATARACCTTTTGATTCCAAACCATGCCATTTCTACACTATGATACTTTAACCATGTGACTTAATTACTAATTATTAAAGGAAGTTTAAGATTGGTTGAAAATATATGGTCTATGAAAGTGGGACTAACTGGATAAAGAGAGGGAAAGGGAGTTGCTGCATTTTTTTTTCTCCCACTGGTAATTTTCACATTCCTTACAGAGGAGAACAGATTGGTATAAAAAAAAAATTGTAAGTAATCATAATTCAAAATTAGGCAGTGGTTAATGAAATGATGGTGTAGATCTGCTTAGCCACAAAATACCAGATATCTATTGAATAAAATTACTTGATTTGTACAGGGAATTATTTCTTAATTTAAGAAAAAATAGATTAATTGATCTGTATATAAAAATGGAATTTTAATTGGATGCTTTCTTAAAGTGGAATTTTTAAGATTAAACCAAAATTCCTTTAAAATACTTCATTGTCATTGATTTTAGGCAAGAAGTTCCACATGAGGGCAATTTGGATATAATTTTGCAAGATGCTGCAACTCAATCCCCAGATAACAAACTACAAAATACATCATTATATGATTCAGAGATCTGGACCACCAAAGACCAAGGAGGACGAAAAGTAGTTGTTCATTTTGTGAAAAATAATGGTATTCTTCCACTTTCAAATGAATGTCTGGTTTTGATAGAAGGTAAGATATTTAAACTGTTGTTTTTTAGAATACTGCTTTTACAGGTTAATTACCGTTAAATGTATTTTACAGGCCACCTAATACATATAAATGAAAAATACTAGTAATTTAAGTTTCACAAAATTGAATGTTATATTAACTAGATTCAAATATATTATACACACACGTACACACACATTCATCTGAATTACATTTTGAAATTAGACATTAAACCTAAGTATTTATATTCATCCATCTTGTTGGATTCTGGCGTGTGATCTTGTCAGTTCCAAACTGATTATTTAGCTGAGTAATAATAGTGAGCTGATTGCTATTGTATAGCTGCTGTTGTCTTGGCCTCTGGATGTCACTGTTGTTTCATAAAAATAGGATGAAAGTCTTGTATTGATGTCTAAATCAAGGAAGAGACCACTAAACAAGTAGGAATAACTTGACAAGTTTTAAAAGAAGGAAAATTTGGGGCTGGGTATAAACCTAAGTGGTAGAGTGCCTGCCTAGCTTTCATGAGGCCCTGCATTCAATCTCCAGACCACCAAAAAAAAAAAAAAATTAATAAAGTAAAAGAATAAATCTTTATTATGTTTTCTTTTTCATTTTCTTTCCATTTCCGTCACATTTTATCTAATATTTTATGTATGTAATACAACTTTTCTCAAGACAAGTTTAAAGTTTCATTATTTTCCTTAAAGCTTTTCTTCCTATATAATTTTCCTTGATAACTAATTTGCATTGGAGAAATGCTTCCTTCTGTTTTATAATAATAATGATTGTACTATTTTTATTGCTGACACTTTTTATTCATAGGAGTAATGCTGCTTTTATATGATTTTATAAAGCATATATATATGAATATTCCTGTTTATAAAAATGGATATCATTTTCATGAACATAGCAATTTTCTAATGTAATTACACTGTGCCCAAAACGACTCTAATTGGTGTTTGTTTTATATCCATTTAACCATCACAAAAAAAGCCAAATCACCTTGTGATTTATGTTAATTTTTCTGTTTAAAAATTCATTTATTAGATTTTAATCTTACTAAAGACAGGATACATGTTTACCTCTATTTCTAATTTGCTGAGGTTTTTTGTCATTAATGAGTATTAGGTTTTGTTAAATGCTTTTTTTTACTGCATCTGTTGATGTTATATTTATTTTTCTACTTTAGCTTGTATATGTGACAAGTAATATCAATTGATGTTTTTAATGTTGAACTATCTTTGCATACCTATAATATATCTCATTTATAGATGAATGGTTACTTGAATACATTTTTTAGATTCTATTTCCTGATACTTGTTGAGGGTTTTTATATCTGCCTTCATGAGAGATATTAGTTGGTAGTTTTCCTTTCTTGTAATGTCTTTTTCTGAATGAGACAGATATCATTTTTTAAATGTTTGTGTAGAATTCACTATTGAAATTGGGCCTGATTCTTTTTTTTCCCCATCCTTAGGTTTAGCTGTTGATTCAGTATTTCATAGATAAAGTTTTATTCAGATTATCTGTTTCTCCTTGTGTGAGTTTTGGGAAATTGTTCATCTAAGTTAACAAACTTGTGGGTATAGAGTTGGTAGTAATATTCCTATTTTTTCTTTTCAGATGTATTCCTTTTATTATTAATATATAGTTTCAAAACTGAATAATTTTAAACTTACTCTGAAACGTAATTCATTTGCAACTCTAATGTTGAGTCATTTTATCATAATATTTATTAATATCTTGAGCATACTATATGCCATGCACTATACTACATAGTTTAATATTTTATCTTTAGCTCATAACAATGTCTGTAAGCTATATATTGTCCCTTTTTTAAACAGATGGGAAACCTGGGACTGAGAAGATGAAAAATAGCTTAAAATTAAAGAGCTAGTAAATGGGAGAAAGAAACTCAAACCTATGTTCATAGTCAAAGATGAATCTTTGTACCCATTATAAATATGTGTCTTTCAGTAATAATGCCTATAGATATAAAACTTTCTAACACTGCTATTCATACATATAATTTTAAGCATCTTTTATTTGTACTCTTTCATTTATTCTGCATATGTTTATTCTGTGCCAGGAACTGAGCTCATCATCGGTGGTATTGTAGCATACAAGACAAAGTGTTTTCTTTTGTGAACTTTATGTAATAATTAATAAAAGTAGTCACATGTGACTCTAAGTACTTTATAAATATTAACTTATTCAATCTTTATAATGACTTTACAGTATAACGGTATTATAATTCTGTTTTTAAAATGAGGACACTAAACTCTGCTGGGCAAGGTAGTACATGCCTATAATCCCAGGAGACTGAGGCAGGAGGATTGAGAGTTCAGAGCTAGTCTCAGCAATTTAGCGAGGCACTTATCAACTCAGTGAGACCCTGTCTCTAAATAAAATATTTAAAGAAGGGTTGGGGATGTGGCTCAGTGGTTAAGCATCCCCAGGTGATATCCCTAGTACTACCCCCGCACACCAAAAAAAAAAAAAAAAAAATCGGGGAAACTAATATACCAAAGTAGCTCAACCAAGGTTATCAAACTCGTGTCAGAGCCAATGTTGGGTAATCCAGTGAAAATGGCCGGGCAGAATGCTCACAGTGTTCTTTGGAATGTTATTTTGCAGGGAACATTCATGGAAAAAGAGTTTATGAATGGTTGGTCGCTCATTGCAATTTTAAGCAAAGTAGGCAGGGTTAAGTGGGGCTATGTATAAGTATCTAAAAGACTATAGCTTTTGGCATATGAAGCTTTTAAACAGCTAGCTTCTTAGATTTTGAAATTTAAGCAGTTGTGATCAGTATAATAGAGCAAAAGTATGACTTCTAGCTGACACAGAATTGTGGAAACAAAGATGGGACTGTACAAAATCAAATGCAGCTGAGCTCACTGTTCTTACCAAAATTCAATCATTTATCAGTAATAAACACAGATTGTTGCAGTCTTATGTTTAACTTCCAGAGTTCTGAAAAAGTTAATTTTGGCAGTTTTTGCTGATGTTCTTGTTACTTTTATGGAAAAAAAGTATTTTTGAAGGTCCAGAAGTACTTGCAATTTAACATTACAATTTCTGTCCAATTTTCATGAAATACACAAAGCTGATGTTTAAACATTATGTTCTCTTTCCTTATAGAGAAAAGGAATTATCAATCTAAGTAAAAAGATAATTGGATTTGAGTTCTAAAGATAATGCTGTCTTCCAATAATGGAAAACCATTGAGCATACTGTTTTCTTAGCCAAATTGGTGGTTTTAATGTTTGTCCTGTCACAGAATTAGGGGAAGTGTGATAATATTTCCAGGAAAAATGAATAAACACTGTATTTGAGTTCATATGACATAAACTACTCTACATAGGTATAGTTAAATTTAATATTGATCTGAAAGCTTAAAAGATATTTCAAAATGTAAGTACAGAATAGCTAAAAGATATAGAGGGTAGAGTAATTATATAGTTGATCAGTTTTAGAACTATAGACCTGCACTATCCATTCAGTAGTCATTGAGCCACATTTGTCTACTGAGCATTTGAAACTAAAACACATTGAGATGGGCTGTAAGTATTAAATATTGTACAGCAGTTTTTGAAGATTTAATGTGAAAAAATGTAAAATAATTTATTAGTCTTTTTACTGACAATATGTTGAAAATATTTTGGATATGCTATATTAGATGAAATATATTAAAATTTCATCCTATTTTAATGCAAGTACTAGAAACTTTTAAATGAAGTTTGTGATATWTTTCTGTCGGACATACTACTCTAGACAGAGATTATATGTGAAATCTGGTCAAGTCACTTATTTTTGTAAATAAAGTTTTATTAAACTATAGTCATAAAAAAAGATATTTCAAACTCAAAACTATATTTGTTTAGACATTAATAGCAATAAGAAATTTAGTAGTGAGAAACCTATAATACTTTGGTTCCCATCTTTGTTCTTTTGGTTATTTGAACCAAGGTGATCCTGGCATAAAGAGCAGTTTATTTAAATTTAAGATGGTGGTTGAAATTTTACAAACTTTGTATTTCTAATCAAGTCTCAGCATTAAATTATTTAATTTTTAAATTTGGGGTACTAATGATTGAACCCAGGACATTTAACTACTGAGTCACATCCCCAGCCCTTTTTATTTTTAATTTTTATTTTGTGACAGGATCTCACTAAGTTGCTGAGGCTGACTTTGAACTCATGATCCTCCTGCCTCAGGCTCCTAAGCTGCTGAAATTATAGGCATRTGCCATGGCACTGACTAAGTCCCACATATTTGTATAATTTTGTTATATATATAGGATTTTTATATAATGTTGTTAATAGATAGGATTAATATTTTTTACCATGAGTGATTAAATCTCTAAATTTATGACTTTATTTTTTTCTGTTAATCTCTTTAGTATATACTGTATCTCATGTGTTACTTAATAAGTATTCCATTTTGCCTTCATTATATAAACCTGATATGGCTTATTTAATAAACCTGGATGGCTAATTTCTTCTTTTTTAATAGGAGGTATGCTTGGTGAAATATTTAAACTCTCAAACAAGTTTCACAGTGTAATTCCTGTGAGATCTGGCCCCGAAGACCTGGAACTCCTAGATCTTTCAGCACCATTTCTTATACAAGGAAAAGTGTTTTACTACGGGTATGTTTTCAACCCAGGGAATTTTTGGAATGAAAAACTATATTGTTAGTATTTTGTCCCATGCACTAGTATATGTTTAGCAGATACTTAGTACCAACTTATCTATACAGGTGGTTCCCAACTTACAATGGCTGGAGTGACACAGGCTCAGTAAATTTTGATTTTTCCCTGGGCTAGTCATTTGAGTACAGTACTCCCCTCACAGGGCTGGGCACTGGTAGCAAGCTGGAGTTCTCAGTCAGGGTAAACAACTAACACTCTGCAGCGGAACGTGTTGCTAAGCTATATGTTCTCTAGGTTAGATGTATTGAATGCATTTTCAGTTTAAGGTATTTTCAACTTAAAATTGGTTTATTAAGATGTAACTCCAAAGTAGATCAAGGATTATCTATGCTAGATTTTTCTATTCTATTAAGCATTATATATTAAGCACACAGTGTTCAAAGTATAAGCCTACAACCTTTTTTTTTCCTCAGACAGATGCAGATACTTGTTTTCTTTCACAAGGATTTAGATAATAGCTACAGAGAAAATTTCAGTGCTGCAAACTTATAATTAAGTGATTGAATTCCAGAATTGCCAGGACATTAGATAAAAAATTTGATTACACTAAAAATTAGAAAATAAAAGAATGCATTATGATATATAAAGAGATATCTAGGTTTAGAAGGAAAGCATAGAGATAAAAATGCCACCTACTACTTGAAAAAACAAATCACCATGCAAATGTCCTGCTTTGAGACCTTGGATTTTAGGATGGATGCATCTTATACTCTCTATTTCTCCTACTCCTAAATTTGTAGCAGTTGTTAGTCATTATTAAAAATGGGTACATCTTGATTTCCATTGAAAAATTATTTACTACAGTTATCATGTTTCCCAGATTGAGAACTTGGAGTCACTAGTAGGCATCCCCCAGGTTCTATCCCATATAAGACACACCAAAATGCTCCAGTCATAAAGTGGAACTAATTATTTGCACCACTGAATTAAATGCCTAGGTTAATATTGATTTTTACCTTGATGTGCCCAATATCTTTATATCTCTCACTAGATACATGACCTCAGAGTCATCTTCAAGATTTATCCACCAGTTAATTCAACAATCAAAACCTTTTATGTTCTGTGTGTTTCTTCTTGAATGAAATCACTAACATGGGATTTTCCATTTGTTTTGTTTTATTGGTGTGTGAGTCTGTGTTTGTGGGTTCACACACACCTCTTCTCTCTCTTGCCCTTTTTCTGACTTGACTTCCTTGTATAAGGTAATTGACTACTCTTAAACTTGGAAAGCAGATATTAGTTATGAAATCTAGAATGTCATTTGTTAATTTACCAGTATTCTATTTTATAAAAGTTATTTTAAGGATTTCAGCTTTTCTCACCACTTTCAGCATGAACCAATAGAGAAATTTTGTTTACTTGTTAAATTTTAAAGATATTTTTAGATTTTCTATTACTTGAATATCAGCAGCAAAAGCCAACATGTCTTTTAATTGATTTCCTTTTTATCTTTAATTATAAAATAACTTTAACTTACAAAAATATCAAAAAAAAGTCACAACACTTATGTACCCTCTACTTAGATTTAGCAGGTATTAGCATTTTAGCATTTTTCAGACTTTACATTTAAGAATTGGTATTTTACAGAGAAGAAATATGTCCTTATAACAGACCCTTCTCTAACCCTTTTTTCTCACAGGTAACTATTTTTCCAAAGTTGTGTCAGTCCTTCTCAGGCATATTTTGATGCTTCTGTTGTAATATATGAACTTCTTAAGCAGTATATCTTATTATTTTTTGTGTTTTTTAAATGTGTATAAACTGTTATATAGCATGCCTTCTCATGTGCAGCATTTTTTAAATTCAATGTTTTTTTCAAGACTTATCCATGTAGATTGTATAGATTTAGGTTATTTTACTATCTGTACTCTATTAACATCCTAAGTATTCATCTATTTCCTATTAATTGGTATATGCTATTTAATTTAAAGATGACAATACTAAATCATCTCCTGTTACACATTTTCTTTGTCATAAAATCATTTCAGTGATCATGACCAGCAGTTTTGGTTTTTTAGGTTTTTTATATATTTTAGATATTTTTTAGACTTTTTTTTTTTTTAGATATATACTGGGATACATACCAGGACATAATCTAAAATGAATTTACTACTATGGGTCCTTGCCAAAAGAGTTTGAAAGTGACTACTAAGTCATTTACCTAGAACTGGAATTACTGGGTCATAAGATAAGCATATTTTTTGCTTTTTTGGGAAAAAAGCTGAGTTGTTCAATGCTTTTAACAATTAATGATCTCATCAATAGTATATAAAAATTTCAATTTCTATTATGTTCTCTCCATGCATTGGTGTAAATGTAACTTATAACTTTATTAGACTTCAAATGATGTCTATGTATTTTCTTGTATTTTCTAGATGATTATTGGGTTTATACAACCCATATGTTTATTGACTGTTTCAGTATTCTGTTTCATCAATTCCAAGTTCACATCTTTTGCCTGCTTTTCTATGTGATTACCACTCTCTTTTTAGTTTAAATTTGTGCATGTGCATGCAACTGCTTGTAAATATTCTTCTGTAGTAGAAATACTAATATTTTGTCAGTTACATACTTATGGTGCTATCTATATCTTTCTAATTTCATGATTTCCTTTGTTTTATGAAGTTTTAAAATGTTAATATAGTCATATTTGCCAAAATGCTTTCCTAAGCCCATAAAAGTTTTTAAAAGCTTTCTTTATGTTGTCTGGACATGATCCTTTTTAAAAAAGATTTAAGCTAATGGTTCAGTGTGTCTCTTTAATGGTTATACATCTTCTAAGTATTTATATTTTGTTAATGAAATATTTTTAGAGAAGTATTCATTTCATTTTTAAGSTTATTGACATACAATTGTTGATTATATTTTCAAATTCTTTTAAATATCTGCTTTGTCGTTGCATCTACTTAATATYGTTTGTATGTGTCTCTTTTTTTCCTTGAGTTTTCTTTGTCAAAACAGCCGACTTTTGTTCATGATCATGCTCTCTCAAGTTTTGATATMTCATAATTCCTGATTTCTTTTTGACCAAGGAATTATTTAGCTGTGTTTATAACATTTCTCAAATTTGTATTTTAGTTGTTATATTATCATGTATATTTTARTGAGATTGTTTTTTAGCTAAACATTTTGGAACATTTCGTAATGTTTCTTTGGGATTTGTTCAGCTTTCTTTATCCTACAATGTGTATGCTTAGATTTGTACATATTCTGTCTGTGTTGTAAAAGAATGTACAGTCCTTAATAGTTGAATTGGAGTTTAATATGTCCATTAGATCAGGCTTATTAGTCATAATAAAAAATTCTGTTTCTTTTWTAATTTTATTGATTTAAACATTTTCTTATAAGATGTGTGTAAACATCCTCTGTGATTTTGAGTCTCTTTATTCTGTCACCATTTGCTATATATATTTTGAGGCTCTTTTCTGAGTTCATTTAGTTGAGTATTATTGGTCCTTACAAAAGGAAAACATTTCTAACCATAATTTTTTTTCCTTAAGGTTTGTTTTTGCTAATATTTTTTATTGTTTTCAACATTTTTTAAGTATCTAATTCTGTTTTCAAGTTTGTGTCATCCAGTTTTAATATGTCACTTATAAATTGTTTAGTTATCATTAGCAGATGAATTTAAATACATTTTAATTATTAGTATGTAGTATATATATTTTCATTTTTATTATTTTCTACTTAGCACATTTTTAGTATATTTTTACTTTCTTTAAAAATGTTTCAAGTCTTTTTGTTGAATTGATTTTCTTAAATGTTCCAAATTTTGTCGTTTTTCACCTTTTACTGATTTAGAATTAATGAGTTCTCTTGACTTGTTTCCTTAAATCTTTAATTAGTATACTTGCTTTTTCAGTGTCACAATCTAATTAATATTTCAGTCTCCTATTTTAGACAATATTATTATTATTTCATTCAGCTGTCTTTTTAGTTAGTTAAGAATCATTTATGTATTTGATGATTAGGTGGTAAAATTTAATACAGTTACCTTGTTTGCCCCAAACTGAAAATAAAAGGAATCTTTTGAATTTGAATTTTTGTTTTTATTCAAAAATTTTCTTATCATATGCCATAAACATATGATGATGTGTGATTAAAAAAGGAATTACTCAAACTTAAAATATGTGGTATATAAGCAAAGCAAAATGTCTATTCTAAATAGTGTACAACTTTAGTAGTAACATAAGTTTAGATATTTTTACATTTTAAAAGAGAACTGTAGTATTAGGCATCATAAACTATAAACCTCTATATGTGATTATTTGAAATTTAATTAGTAATTTTTTTTATTTTTTTTAGTGTCTATTCCTGACTGCTTTCTATAAAATCAAAAGAATTCTTAGAAATTATCTCTTTCAACTTTTTAATATTATGAAATTAAGAGTCATTAATTAATGATTGGCATCTGGAATTCATTCCTCAGTTTTCAAAGTAGAGTTGCTTATTTTGATCCCCATGTATCTTTTTTATTGCTTTTATGTTAAAAAAAAAAAGCCTTATTTTTTGTTAATGCCCTTTTGAAATAAATACATTACAATATAGGTAGTACAGTAATCTTCTGTTTAATAATTTACCTTCTAAACTTATATGTAGTTAAGCAGCAAAAATGTTATAATAATAATTAAATTACTTTTAAATATTCACAACTTTTTCTTTTATTAATTGCAGATGTAAACAGTGTTCTACTTTGAGACCCATACAAAATCTAAATTCTGTTATCGATAAAACATCATGGATTCCTTCTTCGGTGGCAGAAGGTTAGCTAAATTTCCATGTTGTACAGTTTTAACTATTCCTGTATAAGATCATCTCACTGATGTATATTTTAGCGTTTGTGGATATAAAAGGCAGAACTAGATTAACTTTTTTTAGGTGAAATCATTTACAGTGATATAATATATAATATAGTCTACATGTTTAATACATTTGCAGGTACATTTCAAGTGCCATCCTATAATTTTCATCATAATGCAAATTTTATTTTATTTTATTTTATTTTTTTTAAAGAGAGAGTGAGAAAGAGGAGAGAGAGAGAGAAAGAGAGAGAATTTTTTTTTTTTAATATTTATTTTTTAGTTCTCGGCGGACACAACATCTTTGTTGGTATGTGGTGCTGAGGATCGAAGAACCCGGGCCGCACGCATGCCAGGCCAGCGCGCTACCACTTGAGCCACATCCCCAGCCCAATAATGCAAATTTTAATTATCAATAATTTGTTTTCTCATTAGTCATTGATCATAAATACAGGTTCTGAAACATCACTTCAGCTCTTAAGTGCTTTGGGATTGGAAAGGGTTTTAGAGCAATTACAACTTTCTCCCAATACAAGAATCTTTTCATATTGAATTCTTGACTATGGTCATCCAGYCTTTGTTTAAGTCTTTCAATGGCAGTGTACTCATTACATTTCAAGGCAGTCTGTACTAGATACTTTTGCGGGGAAGGGAACAGTGTACAGGGGATTGAACTCAGGGGCACTTGACCACTGAGCTACATCCCCATGCCTGTTTTGTATTTTATTTAGAGACAGGGTCTCACTGAGTTGCTTAGTACCTCGCTTTTGCTGAGGCTGACTTTGAACTTGCAATCCTCCTGAGCCATTGGGATTACAGGCAGCACCACTGCACCTGGTTTAGACACTTTTAACATTGAAGCAAAATCTCCTTACCTAGAATTTTTAATATGCACCATTCAGTCTACTAGAATTATTGAGCATGTCTATTTCCTATTCTGTAAGATAAACAGACTTAGTATATTTGAAGATATTTGTCAGGCCTCTGGAATCTTATTTCTTCAAGCAGGCACCCTCATTTTCTCTAGTACTTCTCCACATGTCTTACTATTTTGTTTTTCCTCCTCAGTAAACATTTTACTTTGCCAAAGTTCTTAACTGGGGTTTGACATTCAAAGCTGGATGCAGGATTGCTGACATCTGGCCAATTTCAAATATAATGAAAGTTTTAGCTTCTCTAAAACTGGACAGTTAGCTTTTACTAACCAAATTTTTAGTGATTAGATATTTATTTCTATACCTAGTTGTATGTTGTTCCTTTTGTAATACAGATGCTATCTCATATTTTGTGTTCTAGTGAAATTCCATATTGTTTTCCCTTTTTTTTCTTTTTTTATTTTGTTCAAAACATTACAAAGCTCTTGACATATCATATTTCATACATTTGATTCAAGCAGATTATGAACTCCCATTTTTACCCCGTATACATATTGCAGATTCACATTGGTTCCACATCCACTTTTTTACATACTGCCATGCTAGTGACTGTTGTATTCTGCTGCCTTTCCTATCCTCTACTATCCCCCCTCCCCTCTCCTCCCATCTTCTCTCTCTGCCCCATCTACTGTAATTCATTTCTCTCTCGTTTTTTTCCTCTTTCCCCTCACTTCCTCTTATATGTAATTTTGTATAACAATGAGGGTCTCCTTCCTTTACCATGCAATTTCCCTTCTCTCTCTCTTTCCCTCCCCCCTCTTGACCTGTTTAATGGTGATCTTCTTCTCATGCTCTTCCTCCCTATTCTGTTCTTAGTTGCTCTCCTTATATCAAAGATGACATTTGGCATTTGTTTTTTAGGGATTGGCTAGCTTCACATAGCATAATCTGCTCTAGTGCCATCCATTTCCCTGCAAATTCCATGATTTTGTCATTTTTTAGTGCAGAGTAATACTCCATTGTGTATAAATGCCACATTTTTTTTATCCATTCATCTATTGAAGGGCATCTAGGTTGGTTCCACAGTCTAGCTATTGTGAATTGTGCTGCTATGAACATCGATTGTAGCAGTATCCGTATAGTACGCTCTTTTAAGGTCTTCAGGGAATAGTCCGAGAAGGGCAATAGCTGGGTCAAATGGTGGTTCCATTCCCAGCTTTCCCAGGAATCTCCATACTGCTTTCCAAATTGGCCGCACCAATTTGCAGTCCCACCAGCAATGTACAAGTGTACCCTTTTTGATATCAAGTTTGGTCTTCCCATCATTCTTTTGGTTGTTTTGTTTGTTTGTTTGTTTGTTTGGGGCAGTACTGGAAATTGAACTCAGGGCCTTAAGGACATGCTGAGCTACATTCCCCAACCCTTTAGTTTCTTTGTTTTATTCATTCATTCAGACAAGGTCTCACTCAGTTGTCCAGGATGACCTCAAACTTCTGATCCTCTGGCTGCAGCCTCCTGAGTAGTTGGAATTATTGGCAGGAGCCACTGTACTGACTTCTATCATATTTTTAATTCAATTTTTTGTTGGTTTTTGTAGATCTTCTGCATAAGTTTTAAGTTGTTCCTTCTGGGTTTTAGTTCACTATTCTAACTTATTTGAGACCTTTTGAAACCTGAAAATCAATTCCTCTGTAATAATAATATCTATTACATGCTTAAATTCATGTCTGTGTGCCCTGATTTATTATTTGCCTACTTGATTAGTACAGTTAGTCCTACAGTTTAAATATGGGTTCGGTAGATGGAAGCTAAGGTATGTAAGCATACTGAGTATCTTTCATTTCCATATACAAACATGATTTTGTGTCTTTAATATCTKTCTTATTCTTCATCTTTTCATCATGATAAAATCCCAGATTCTGAGATTTTTGTTAATTCAATCAGAAATATTCCTTAAAAAATAATAAGCGAACCTTTATACTTACAATACAAGCAGGAGTGGCATGTTTTAAAAAAAAAAAAAAAAAGAACTGCATTCTATTTTTTTAATCCTGCTATTTTAGTTTAATTTTCGGAAGACTAAATGCAGTGTTACAATTTATGAAATACTTTATGATTTCTCATTTTAAAGATACATTATAAAAATGATTAAGGAAAGATTCCATTGCTGTAATATCATAAGACATTATCCCTGTGTAAATACTGTGGAATGTTCCAGATTAAACCTGCTAAATAAAGTTAATATTTTGCTTTTAGAGAGCAAAAGTTGAATCTGAAAGTTTCTTTATCTCTTGAAGTATTTTAGTAAACAATATTTATAGGTTAATACATAATAAAACAAGTTTGACTTTTCCTTGATAATAAGGAATAGCAGACTCATGGGTTGTTTTTGTTCATTTTTTTTCTTCACTAGTACTGGGTATTGTACCCCTTGAGTATGTATTTGTTATGACATTTACTTTTGATGATGGAACTGGAGTATTAGAAGCTTATCTCAAGGATTCAGTAAGTAACAAAGCTAATAATGACATTTCCATCTAAAAGAAAAATTTTTTAAATTGTAATACACTTATACATACCTATTTATTCCTAAAATTTTTAAGGCAATGTGAAAGTTTAAATAAAATATAAGCTTATACATCTTTAAGTTGTCTGTGTATGTATCTCTCTTTTGATTTGATATTATAAATCTTGATATTTAAAAAATGAAAAAATGGGAATAGAAATTTGAAGAGTCATTGTCTATATCATGCCTAAGTTGAACTGCAAGTCCAAAAATCAGAAGTATGGCCACACTATATAAGCATTATTTATAGTAAGTGTTTCACCATACTTTGTAAGCTTCCACATTTCATATTAGAAGAAATACAGCTACTTTGATAAGGAGGTAGACATTGTGTAAAGCTGTAGAGTGTTCCATATGCCCATCCTCACTTCTGATATTTCTAAAGTTCAGAAGTCTCCAAGGCCATCTTTAGTTTTCATAATTCACAAGAAAACCTTGGAATTCACTGAAAACTATTGTAGTCCAAATATAGAACTGCCTAGCAGAGGATGTAGATTGAAATCAACCAAAAATGGAGATTACATAGTTTCTGAAAGTTCCAAACATGGAACTTAGAGTCATCCTGTCCCCATGAAATTGTGAATTGTGTTACTTTTCCTGCAACAGTGTAACTGTATAGTGGAGTATTGCTAACCAGGGAATCTGAATGAGTCTTGATGTCAAAAATGTTTATTGTGACTCCATCACCTTGGCATGGTTGACTGCCCATGTGACTGATTTGAGTCATCATCAAGCTGATAATGCATACCCTAAACTTTCCATGTGAATCACATTGTTAGACTATTCAGAATGACCCAACCCCCACCCCAGGCAAACGAAGTCTTCCTCCTATCAGGTGTGCCACTAAGTTTAGACATTACCCCACAGGCTAAGGGCTTAATTGAGGTAAGGTTAAACTTCTTACTAAACATCTTGAACATGAGGTTAGTTTGAGAGAAGACATTTTCTCCTACTTTCACAACTCATTAGCCATTTATTAAATAAATACTTAGTGATAACCTGTGCACCGAGTCCTTTTCAGTGTGATAAGGATACAGCAGTGACCAAAGTAACTTACAACCTAGTAGAGAGGAGAAAAAATAAATGAATACTATGTTATGTTCTTTTAAACTTAACACTAGATTTTGTATTCTCGTGTACAGATAATCATCAGTCTATTTTTTATCATCATCATTAAGTCAGAGTAACCTAACTTGATTTTATATATATATATATCACAAAGTTCTTTTAACATTAAAGAAGTGTAAGCAGATTTTAAAGATCAGCACTCTAATTTATGAATTCTATAATCTTGATAAAGTGAAATGATCCTAGATTATTTCAGTATATTAGGTAATGTTAAAATACTTTCATATTAATTATGATTAAAAAGATTTAATATTTTATTTTTCATTCTGTCATAATTTTTTAAAGGAAAAATTCTTCCAGATTCCAGCATCAGAAATCTTAATTGATGATGACCTTCAAAAAAATATGGATATGATCATGGATATGTTTTGCCCTTCAGGGATAAAAATTGGTAGGTAACAATATTTTGGCAATCCCTTTCTTTCTTATTCTTTTTTTTTTTTCCCCCCAGGGCTGAGACTCAATCTCAGAGCCTTGCACATGCTAGGCAAGCGGTCTCTCCCTGAGCCAAATCCCTAACCCTCCTTTCTTTCTTATTCTTGAAAGARCATCTAGCATATATCTAATCTGCAGACAGTTAGAAATATGAAAGCTTTGAATTCAAATGAATTGTTAAATAGTAATTACTATATTATCCACCTCTTGATGAGATAGAAATAGAGAAGGTATAAATGAAATATTTATATAATATTTTATAAGTAATTTGAAATGTAGTAAAAGGTAGGCTGTTTTGATCATAAGCACTGTTTTGCAGGTAATGGGTAGTGGGGTTTGAACTCAGTGGCACTCAACCATTGAGCCACATCCCCAGCCCTAGAGACAGGGTGTCACTGAGTTGCTTAGCACCTCACTTTTGCTGAGGCTGGCTTTGAACTCGCAATCTTCCTGCCCCAACCTCCTGAGCTCTGGGATTATAGGTGTGTGCCACCACGCCCGGCTCATAAGCACATTTGATACAAAGTTTGTGCATGTACACATTTAGGTTGAAATTATACCAAAAAGGACTGAAATTTTGATGTTAAACATTTTCTATAATAAACTCTACTTAGGCATTTAATTCATTGGTAGATTTTCTATTTATTGATAATTAGCTTCAGATAATAGTTTTCTTTTTCTATTTTTTTATGAACTTTAGTTATTTTTCATATAAGCATTTGATTGATCAACTAGGTTTTCTTAAGATTAAATTGTATGGATTATACCTACTGCCAGAGTTTTCCTTCTGAGGCTTTTATTTCTATTTATATTGAAACTTGCAGAACTAAATCATTTTAAGACAATTTGATTATTCCAAATATTTTTATCACTAAGAAATTTTACCTGCTGTAGATCTAACTGTTGTTGGTTTAATTTTTATGGATTACTTTTAATCACTATACTTTCCTCTGGTTAATCTGCATCTGTGACAGTTCCAAAGAGATAGTTTTGTTCATCTCAAACAAAGTTTATCTTCTTCAGTTTTATTTGTTGTCTGTTTTTATTTGTGTTGGTTATTTGAGTTATTTGGATAGATTTCTGGAAGCAAAACTCCCATGTCAAAAAATAAAACATGGACCTTGTAGCTTTTGATATATACTGCAAGATTGTTCTTAAAAATATTTTATCTATTTACAGTTCTATCAGCAGTGTAGGACAGTGTCAGTTTCACTTTACCCTTGCCAAAATTAAGTACTTTATTAAATGTCTTTCACACTTGAACTTGAAGAAACATGTGCAATTTTTCTAGAAGTTACAAATAATCTTACCATGATAATAAACAAAGCTTAGAAATGGCATCTGTGGCTGCCAGTATTGCTTGAGCTCCATATCTGCTATGTGATGTGAGTCCAGCTTGGCAAGTATAAGGGCTGGAACTAATTTGAAGTTCAGGCTCTATTTCTTTTAATCCTTTAAGGAAAAAAATTTAAAAGTATGTGGGTAATCACTAAGTAGTCAGCAGAGGAAAACAGAATAAAAGTTGGTTTATTACTTTTGATATCAAGCATTTTGAAATGAAACAGATTTAATCAGTTTCTTCTGCTGTTGGGAAAAAAATTAAATAGACATAATTGCCAATTATTTGTTTAGTGTTAATGGTTAATATGGTTATGTATAGTGTTAATGGTTAAATAGTGTTTTGTTGTTGTTGTGTGTTTGTTTGTAGATGCATATCCATGGTTGGAATGTTTCATCAGATCTTACAGTGTCACAAATGGAATGGAGCAGCAAATTTGCTATCAAATTTTTGACACCACAGTTGCAGAAGATCTTATCTAATATTGCCATTCAACTTAGCCTAAGTAAAATACCGTAAATTAAAAAGCAAAAGTTAATACTTTTTATGAAGTTCTTGCAAAACAAGGAAGACATTTTGCTGTTACTCAAATAACAGTCACATTTTCATTCTTACTACTATTTTAAATTTTTTTTAATAGACATTTTGTGATCTTAACGCCTTCTTTTGAGTATGTTAAAATGTGCTTGTTGCTCAGAATATCCACATGATGACTGCCAGGGACATAAAAGGAAAATTGAATAAATAAAGACTAGTCTTTCATTTGATTTTTGCAGTCGCTGCAGAGAAGCCTGTTTTATTACCCTAAACTAAAAATCAGTTTTTCTATGGCATTTTTCAWGTATCAACCACTGATTTCTGTGCTATATACTATTCCTTAATGGCTTCTTTTCCTACCTGATTTTTGTATCAGCAGCCTTGATTATGTTAATATGGGTGTGAGGTTAGGAAATATCCTTACCTTCAGTCTCAGCTTTCACTAAATGCAAGCTATTGGTTTTATTTTGATTTGTTTTTTGTACAGAGAGATCCGCTTTACCAAGTTCTGCTTAAAGAAGTATTTGTCAGAGTGAACCACAGTTCAGTAAAAGTATGATTTACTTTAACTGTATTTAACAAAAATGCTTTATTTCAGTTGTGATATTGATCATTTTAGGGTAAATCTATTTCTTTAGACCTGAATTATGTGTCTTGATTGCTTGTTTCTCTCCATGATACTAAAACATTTTCCATTCCACACCAACATAATAAAGTGATCAGATTAATGTTAATGACTTATTTATATTATATACATTTTCAATAGTATTATGTAAAATATACACATATTAGAATTTTTAACTAATTGAATGTGATGTTAACTCAGTATAATAGTCTGCTTTTTACCTGACACTATTTGTCAAGTGTAAAATCATGAATATTTAATTTCATACAAATATTCCCATGTATTTGTATGTATGGATAGATTTGTCTGTTTGCTAATGACTGACAAATACCTATCTGCCTAGTTCAGTATAGTGAAGAATAAATAAATGCACACATTTCGTTGGTTTCATTATTTGCTGTACATTAAGTGGTAGCATGATAATGATGAAGCAAAGAATCAGAGCAACGTAGTAGATACTAGGCACTATATACCAGGCACCATCAATCATTTAACATGTCTTTGAACCCCTGAACAATGCATTTTTTTTAATAAGAAAACTTGAATCCTGATAGATAAACTAACTTGTCAAGTTCATACAATTCCTAAGTGCTGGAGTCAGTATTTGTGTTTTATTATCTATTTGGAGCCTTTACTGCTAACCACTCCAGTATTCTGAAACAAAAGATACCATGGGCTATTCTGCATTAAATCCTGCTTTTAAATACCTAAAAGAGAAGTAGATTATAAAAGAAGTCAATGTGTTTTCCTGAACTCTCAAGAGGCTTTTGATACCTTGTTGGCAAAAGGCATTGGATACATTAACACATTTCTATACCTGGTTACAAATTCCATGTTTTAAACAGTGAGAGACTCGTGACCAGTGCTGCTGTTTTTTAGAGATACAAACTCTTGGTTCAAAACATCCTCAGGGAAAATACTTTAAAACCCTACAATTGAATGGATGTATTTCAGTACTGCTGATATGCTAGGGATACAAAGGTGGGGTAGACATTTTTTCTTCCTTCAGGAAACACCCAGTCTAAAAGAGTAGGGTTCAAATGTTGTCATGTGTTTACACTGTGAACCTATGTGTTCTCCCATTTTACAAATGAAAATTCTCCCCATGAATATTTATGATTAAAGGTCATTTCTCTTACTCTTTTTTTGTTTTATGTAAACCATTACATTAACATGACTTCTTATAGTTTGTTGTGGAGTTTTGTTTTGTTTTACCTTTTCTGTTTGAAAAAGAAGAGTTTCATTGATACCTAGTATTTATCCAGCAGTGATGTGTACATTACCCTAATCAGGAACCCAGAGTTAGAAGAATTTCAATTCTAGAGCAACAGAATGGTAGTTTGTTTTACCAAGATTTGATATATACTGCCAAATTGTTCTTTAATAATCCCAGATTGTTCTTAAAATCCCTGTCCCGTTGATATAACTACTGATAGAATCTTCCTGTTAGGTTTAAAGTGTGACATAAATTTAGGAAGATCATTTGTGTCCAACTTCTGATTTTTTCAGTATCTATTTTTAGATACTTGTTTTAGTCAGCTTTTTCATTGCTGTGACTGAAAGACCCAACCAGAACAAATGTAAAGGAGGAAAGATTTATTTGAGGGCTAAATAGTCCATCTATGGACTACGATCTCAAAACGAGATCCTAGTCCATAGAAGGCTGGCTTTAGCCCTCAGGGCTCCAGGTGAGACAGAACATTATGGAGGGAGAGTTTTGTGGTGGGAAGCAGCTCACATGACGATCAGAAAACAGAAATAGAGAGACTCCACTCTCCAAATACAAAATATATACCACATAGCCATGCCCCCAATGAACCACTTCCTCCAGCCACACCCCACCTACTTCTAGCCACCACTAAGTTAATCCCATCAGGGAAAATTCACTGATTGGGTTAAAGATCTACCTCAATCATTTCTCCTTCAAACTTTGCATTGTCTCATGTGAGCTTTTGGGGGACACCATCTAAACCTTAAGAATAATATTAGATTGTCTCTTTATAATCCTTGCATTGTTCTATATGAAGAAGAGAATTTGGGTCTTAAAAATTGGTGACAGTTGTTCTATTGAAGATAGTTGTTCTTGATCTAGATGCAGAAATGAAAAATGCATTGCTCACACATTCACTGTGCAGCCAGCTTCAGTTCCACTGAATTTTTTTTTTTTTTTTTTTTTGAGGAAACCTTACATTCCAAGGCACAGTTCATCTCAGGGTTTGTTGTTGTTGTTTTTAACCCCTGGTCTTCCTGTACATTGGAAGTTGTTTCTAAATAAAAAATAGACCTCTGTCTACCTTAGAAAACCATCTTCACAAATTAGGACATTGGGTACCCAGGTCTTTAGGTGACATAGAACCTGTACCTTAGCTTCTTACAGGCCACAGGAATGGACCAGAATCTCCATTGCCCAACTGACTATGAAGTTATTTCAGAAGTCAAACCATGAATTTGTCACAAATTAGGACAATCCAACCAATTGTCTTCTGTGATTTCTGGAAATTTTTCTTGGTTTCTATAAAAAACAGTGTCAACCCCTACTTATAATTTTTAGGATTATTTTTGACTTTGCATTTTATCAAGATAATTTTTATCCAGACATTTCTTATTAATAAAAGTAATAGGGCTGAGGATTTAGGTTAGTACTTGCCTATCATGCAGGAGGCCTCCGGTTCAATACCCAACACATACATGCTAATATATACTATGAAGAACTTTAAACAACATAGCATATGTAAAGTTGAATTAATTCCTGCACTTGCTGGTAGCCCACAAGAAAGCATTTTCTTTTTCTTTTTTTTAATATTTAGTTGCAGATGGACAAAATACCTTTATTTTATTTTTATGTGGTGCTGAGGATYGAACTAGTGCCTCAGGTGCACCAGGTGGGCGCTGTATCCCTGAGCCCCAACCCCAGCCCGAAGAAAGCACTTTTTAACAGCTTGGAGTACAACTTTCCAGATTGTTTTTCATAAGAACATGTGAGTATGTGTATATTTACATATTTTTTTATTGCATCATGTTATGGACAGTCCTGCAATTTTTCTCTTGTCAGTTTTTATAATGGACTTTTTTTCATGTCAGTACACATAGAGGAAGAAGCTCATTGCTTATAATTACTCAGCAGAAGTTACTTCAGTGGGTAATTCTCTGATTATTTCACTATTTCTGTTGTGTTTTTTGTTGTTTAAATATTTCTTACATCAGTTTTGGAATTTTATATTTTTATAAGACTGTATCCTTGTTTTTATTTTATTACCTTATAGTTAATCATAATATTGTTCTGTTTACATTATTTAGTCTGTATTTTGTCTGTTGTTATTTCCCCTTAAATCTGACATCCTGGGGTCTGGAGTCACCATACCCTTTAGAGGTTTTTATTAGCTGATCAGAATTTTGGAGAACTATATCGGATGCCTAATATAGATTAGGATTCTACCATGACACATTATCTTGAAATATTCTTTCCTGCTTTGACAAATCATGGAGAAAAGAATAATAAGAACACTTTCTCTGATGCTTTTCATTAGGCATTTCAAGTTATGTGAAGGCTATGATGAGTCATGCTGAAGTTCTAGAACATCAGTTTAGGTGAAACAAAATTTTTTTTCTCTTATTGTTCCCTCATATTCTCTGTGTAGTTTCAAATCTTTGTCACCTGTTATTTAGATATGATGTGTACTCAAAAGTTCATAAGTAAGACAATGCAAGAAACTTTAGAGGTGAAATGATTAAGTTATGAGATCCTTAACCTATATCAGTGTGTTAATCCACTGATAGTAATTAACTGAGTGGTAACTGTAGACAGGTGGGGTGTGGCTGGAGAAGGTGGGTCATTGGGGGCATGCCTAGGGTACATAGAGTACATATTTTGTCAGTGGTGAGGACAGTCTCTGCTTTTTGGTGGTTATGTCCTAAGCCACTCGCGTCCACCACACTCTTCTGCCATCATGTTCTGCCTTATCTAGAGCTCAGAGGAATGGAGTCGGCCATCTATGGACTAAGACCTCTGAAACTGTGAATCCCTAGTATACTTTTCCTCCTCTAAAAATTTTCTTGGTTACAGCAACAAAAAACCCAAAACATCACCCAACCCAGAAAACAGGGACCTACCTAGTTAAATCCGGGCAAAATAGTCTGTCTTTCCCTATGGCACCTGGAAATCATATGAGAACTTACCAGTGCACTCAGGTATGGATTATAGTTTCTTTTGGAAGTTGAGATGTTAATCGTAATACTGTGTTATTTTTCCCTGCAGTATTGTGATTTAAGCTATTAGAAAATTTGATATCAGTTGGAGTTTCAATTATGATCATATGTGGAGATAAATGTCCCTGCATTCAGGACTGCATTTGATGGATCAAGACTTGTTATACTTCCTTTACAACAATAAGGATGATATATCTGTAGTGGGAGCTCTCCTTCTTGTATCAATTATGACACAGTTCAGAAACTCCTTCACATTTCTTTAGACTATAGCAACATGTTGGTCTTTTTTGTTTTTTTTTTTAAGCTTGAAATGTAGGCCACAAAGTCAGATTGATACTATGTATGTGTGTGTGTGTGTGTGTGTGTGTGTGTGTGTGTGTGTGTTGACATTGGTGCAGGCATGCCATCTATGTTTGTACACTTGCTTTTATTCTCTGTTTTGAGTTCTCCTTTCAGGGTACTATATTTGAAGATACCTGACAACTTCATCCATAGTTGTCAAAGAAACCAGTCTTCAACTTGTACAAAAGATTCTTTCATTTTGTCTATTTGTTCACAGTATTTGGAAGGTTAAACATGTCTGTTGAAAACCTTAACATTCTCATCTATTAAAAACATATTATACCAAATATTGTTAGTTTCTAAGTAAGTATCTTTTTATATGCAACCTTGAAATTTTTTTCTTATACCTTCAGGAGAATTTCTCCCTCTTGAAATATGAATTCCTAAAGGCCATTTGGTATTTACATAGATAACTGCTTAGAAGATTTCTATCCTACATTAGAAGGCAATGTCTTCTAGAATTTAAAGTAGCTTGCCAAGTTTGGCTACTTCATAAGTGACTTTCTGTCTCAAGCTTGCATTATAGTTAATACATTAATACATACATAAATAGTACAGTGGGTCTTTGGTGACACTGGTAAGGTAAGACATCAAACTTATTGACCTGTGGAGTCAAGTGAAAACTGCTTGGAGTAGATATGCATGGTTGTGGGTTTGGTTTTAGGTGGGAAAACTTACGTGCTTATTCCTCATTAATAAAGTTCTAAAATGACAAACTTGTCCTTAAATTTTGAAATCATTAATAAAATATTTCTGCACGATGATCAAAGCTTAAATGGAGATTCAAATAAAGAATCCAAACCACAAAATTGGTATTTAAAGGTCATCTTGTGCATTTCTGTTCACTTATTACTCATACAGTGTCTGTATCCAAAAAGAAATTTGACATGACTTACATCAAAATCCTAACCTAAAGGATGCTACAGGTTTTGAGCAAAACTTATTACACATGAAGATGCATCAGGTTATATTGCTCTTACTAAATAACAAGTTATTAATCATGTTACTAGGTGCTACAGACATTTTTATTTATCTCAATAGTAACAAGGTGGACTTTTATTTTAAACACTTATGTAATCAATAGTACTTATTTTAAAATGCAGAAACAATCTAGATAGTACAATGTAAGTTCTGTAGTTGGAAGAAATAGRATAGGGGAATTTTCAATTAAGCATCCACCTTTTGACTTAAAGGTGAGACAATTTTTGGTTTATTTTAATGATTTGTTAAAGGTTCTTAAACATCTGCCCATTTAAAATTATTAGAAATACTAATAAATTATGACCAAATCATAAATATTTTTCTGTCATTAAAAAAAAAAATCTGTTTCCCTCTGATACATTGAGAAAACCAATAAGTTTCTCTTTTACCTTTTGCTTTTCTGGTTGCAATTAAAAAAAATAGGTGTCTTGTATTCCATGTTTTATGTAAGGAAGAATGGGTTTCAATGAATCACAGTTCTGTAAAGGTATGTGTTCCAGTTCTTCATCTTCATTGCTCCATGAAACATGTTGCTTCAGTTGTAAGACAAGTAGGCTTCACACCAGTGT